GTAATACCCTAAAGGATCAGCTACGCTTTCTCCAACAGAAATTGAAGCACAAAAATGCATTACGGCATCTGGTTTATGTTTAGAAAATATTCGTTCAAGAGCTGTCTTATCACGAATATCAGCTTTTTCGAATTTAATCCCTTTGGGAATTGATTTTATATGACCTTTAGAAAGATTGTCTAGGATAATAATTTCGTAACCCTGCTGAGTCGAAAGTTCTCGAACAAGATGAGAACCAATATAGCCAGCACCACCGCAAACAAGAATTTTCATAATCTTTAAATTTTGTAAAACATGAATTAGATGGAAATTTAGTAAATTTAAATAAAATTTTGCAGCCTGCTAAGGAAGGACCTATAACCTAGACGCTATAATCGACGGTATTAAAATTCAAAAAATTTAAAAACTCATTTGAGTGCTGCCAAAGGAAAAGGACACATCGGTTTTTAAGGGATCCGTATTTATTTCACAGACAGACTCTAATTCTAATATAACCTTAATGAAAATGACATTATTTTGTCGGTGAATTGGCTGTCAGTGAAATAGGTTGTTGGTGAAGTAATTGTCGGCGAAATGAGCATCGCACGTTTTTAAGTATATTAGTCTGATTCAGCTCACGCACATCGGAATTTCAATTTTTGTTATATATGAGTGCATAAGAGCGAAAACCTGTAATCAATTATACTGTAATCAATTATACTAAATCATTAAATCCATTCCCAGGTTTTCACTCGTGCACTCATATATGAGCACCATATAGATATAATTAAAGCTCGATATGTCGTCTATCAGAAATTCTGAATCAGAATAGTAATCAATGATATACTTCCCTTGGCAGTACTCATTTAAAATGTTTTATTGGGATTGGGAACGTTGAACTTTCGGTGTTTGAATACCTATGTTTAAATTGTCGGGTTTTAACTATCAGATAAGAATGCCGTGATGATAGCGTCAAGATCGCAGCACATTGAATAAATTCACTCTAGGAAAACATACTGTAGCTATAATTGTAATAATATTAATGCATAGCAAAGTTAGCCACTAATCTTGAGCAAATGCTGAAAAGTTAATTGCAAATGTTAATACCTTCTTTTAATGATTTATCCTTATCTACTGGAAAGGGGACTGTCATAAGAAAGTCCTTTTGCACGTAATACCCTAGCGTGAGCAAAAAAAGTATGGTAACAACAAATAAAATCATCTTGTTTAATGTTGATAAAAGCGCCATATTGATTTTATTTTTTACTTTCGCTTGAAAGATGGATCTATAAGTTAAAAGTTAAATCCAATTATACAAATTACGGTTTTATAAACGCGATTGGGTTAATGTTCCTTAAATCCATATTTGGTGATTTTTTTATTGTGCGTGACGGTAGGTTTTTATTAAACGTAACGGTAAGACCAAATGGCTGATATTGACATTGCATATTTATGGTAAAACAAATGTTTAACAACTATTATAGGTGCATAATATGCAAATATAAATGTTTTGCTGACTGCATTTCACTTGTTTACTACAAATGTACATGCCAGTCACACGATATGCCACATGTAAATTTTTGTATTATAGTCAAAATTTGCGTCAAATATGCATCCCGGCTTTCGTTTTGTGGTAAGAAGTTGTTATTTAATTCTACGCAAGGATTTTGTCTACTATTTAGCATTTGAAGGTTCTTTATGTAAAATTTTAACGGTGGTTAAAAATAAAGCTATAATTAATCAAAGCTTAAAGTTTGCCTATTTTTTTCACGATTTACTTACGACCGGTTTAGTCGATAGAGGCGGTTATATTTGGCGAGTGAGATTAAAGTCGTAGGTACGTATTACATTGCACATGGTAAGTAACATTAATATTTATATAAAACAACCAAAATTTGTTATTATAATGAAGTTAACTAATGACAATTGTATGTAATAGGGCAAGAAAATATGAATATTTGGTGCGCCAATACATATAGAAAAAAGATATAGGCTATGAATGTGAAAGAAAGATGCGAACCTATGGGATTGGTTCTATGCAATAACAAGTTTAAGACTAGAGTGTCCAGATTTATACTATTTCAGAGAATTTTCATTGCTTGAACAATAAAAAAAATCCCTGAAACACATAAGTCTCGATGCTTTAGTTAAGACTTATCATATTTGTTCTTTTTTTTTTAACCAAATTTTTTTGTTCCTAATTACAACTAATTATGACTTTTTAAAAACCGTTTATGTAACTAGAGCTAATATGTAAAATCGTTCAAGCATATTCTGATCGCATCAATGGAAAGATTTGATTGCATTAAAATGGATTTGCAGAAAAATAAGAATAAAGACAATGGTATTGCTTTTTTAATCTAAAACACAATGGCGCAAAATGATCAATTTTATGCATTTGTATTTATGTAGCGTTATGTAGCGACGTGTCAGGAAGAAATGTATTGTTCTAGAAATTTATCAGTGTATAAGCGAATAAGATTGATACTCATTATAAAAAATAGAAATATCAATATAATACATTTAATAAAAACAATACGTTTATATTATATTAATGAATTATTACAACGTATAAATAAAGTATCAATACGCGATATTTAATTCTACACTAACACATAAATAAATCGATCGAATTTTATATAAACCCAACCTGTTATTTAATTTTACAAAAACAATTTCTCTTAAAAGCTTATAAGATCGGGTCAACCTTTCATTTCAATTCGCGATTGTACAAATCTATTTAGTATCACACATTATTCAGTTTTAAGTTGAAATACAATCCGTTTTTGCTCAAGTTCGACTCCAATTGACCCTTTCAGAGCACTGGTTTATTAGATTGAATTAAATACTTTTGAAAACATGTTAAAGTAATAAAATGTTCTTAAATAAGAAAACTTTATTTTAAATATCAATGTTAAAAAAATTGTATATTCTTTAAAGACCATAGGATCACTGAATTTTAAACACTGCTCGCACCTCATATCTTTCCTTTTTTTTTAAAACGAAAGTAACAGCGCGGAAATCCAAAAATTGATCAAATTGTTTTTTAGACATACAATATACTGTAGGAAGTTCAAGCTCTTATAAAAGAGTTAGTTTTATATAAAAATATACGATTAGATAACTGCTGTGACGATTACATGGATCATCGATCCGTCGATCGTAGACCCTACGTCAATCATCGACCCGAACATTGGGGGCCCTGATATACTCCGACCAAAAAAAATAGAAGAAACGAGTGTCGGAACATTACCAAAAATGTCGGGAAGGAAATTTCACTAAAGACCTACCTTCACCCTAAAAAGTCGAAAAAATTACATATTGAAAATTTGCTTTCAAAAATTTTACGTGCCCTGCCTTAGACTAACCTTAATTTAGGGTCCCTTAAAGTGGGCAAATTACGTAAATAATCAACCAATCAAATCGTTCAAATCGGAAACCATCAAAAACGGTAGTCTAAACCCACCTTGGTGCATTAACAAAAAATGTCGAGAAGGTAATTTTGTTTATATGAACACCTCTATTTCTAACCTCAAATGGTGTTAATCCTAATGTTAATTAAATAACGTTATAATTGTACTTTAGTAGAATAATTTGAATAATGCTTAAAATAGAAATAATACCCTTTGATACCTTCATATCTCTTTTAACATCATAATACTTAATTCATGACCTTAAAATAAAATAAAATACCGTATTCCGTTCCCGTATTACACATTATATGGTTTATAAAAATTGATCTACATTATTTGTCATATCGGGTACTTTGGCGAACGTAATACATTAACGGTTAATAAAATAATAATATCGTTCCCTAAATCCACGCATATGTATACTTATCTTTTGTTAACTAACATTGTGGATTTGTGACACAAGTTAACCATTTACATCCACTTGATAGTTACAACGTATGTACAATAAGAATTATTATTTACGTATTCAAAATAAACAATAAGGCCATACAGATTTAATATCTTGGTGTTCATAACATGAAAATTTTGAACAGACCCGGCCGGTCGGCCTTTTTTTAAAAATTTTATATATAAAATTTTATAAACTTTTTTTTACAACTTTTCAAAATTTTGAGTTATGAAAACCAATTAATTTTGCATGGACTAAGTAATTATTTTACTAACCTCTAGCTTACAAATGCAGACAAACGTATTTAATACTTAATTAATATTTCAAATTATTTCTGTATAATACGTAAGTAATAATAAATAAAGATCAACAGATTATTGAGTTTAAAATTTTATTTACATTTGTAAAACATAAGCATTCGTCGTACATATATGTATATGCAAGTACTGGGAAAAAATATGCAATTATTACTTACATTATTACCTTGCCCATCTCTAGTTTGACGTCGGAAGACTCAGTCTATTATGATGACTATTATTATTCAATTCGGCTGATTTGAAGAATTTGACCTTTATTTAAATCTCTACTTTTTGAATAGATTTTGAGTTTTAAATACAAGTTCCTATTATTACGTATCAGACTTTGTATAACCATGAAGCGGAATTTTCAAAATAAGGGGTCTAACTTTTAAAAAATTTGGATAAAGGTCAAATTCCACAATATCGATATGATTTTTTGGGAATCAAAGTATTATTTTGTCAGACAATGGGTGTTTTCAAGCACCTATCCCAATGGGCTCAACAAAAAATGCAATTGAGATAGGTGCAAAAAATCCCAATTGTGAAACGTTACAAACTCAAATTACGCATAACATTCAATACAAACTCAAATTACCAAATGAATATAAATTTCAGTTATAACTTGACGCAATTGATGCTTCTAATATTAAATCAAAAATTTTTTGGACAATGAGAATTTCCAAGAACAAACTATCAAAATATGTCTGTTTGATAATAATACTAGCAAGCATTTGTTGCTATGGGTTATTCTTCGATACTTGCACTCTTTTTTGTAGCAGACCTAAATCTTTAAAATGCAGCCTTGGTTTCGATAACATTTATGTCCTTAATCTCGAAAGGAGAAGAGATAGGCATGCAATAATGGCTGAACTAGAATTATTTCATGGATTATGTTTTAATTATGTCAAAGCTGTTGATAAAAATGATAAAATAGCAATTAGCAGACTCAACAAGAGTCGGCATCTCGATCCCATCCCGGGTGCAAAAGCTTGTTATTTAAGCCATTATGATGTCTACAAATCAATTGTAGAAAATGGATATGATAAAACGTTGATTTTAGAAGATGATATAGATATGGAGCTTGAAATTTTCGATATTATGCCTGGTATTCATCGTAATTTACCTAACGACTGGGAGCTGCTTTTTCTTGGACATTGTCATGAACGGATGGGAAAAACAACAATTCTCGACAATGAATTATCGAATAAGACGAATAAATTACACACTGCTGAACATCCACAGTGTACACATGCTTATGCTGTTACAGCCTCAGCTGCCAAAAAGTTATTGGAAATTCTTGATATCGATCACATTAATACTGACTTAGCTATTGATATGGAGTTAGCCCGTCTTATTCAAAATAAAAAGCTCATCGCTTATGGGGTTCATCCACAGATTATAGCTCAATGGAAAGGTGACAAACCAGATACTATACCTAATTTTCAAGACGATACTTATTATTTGAAAAATTCCACCTTAGAGTTTCTTGGTTTTAAACGACATGTCTAGTTGTAGTTATATGATTATAATTAATGGTGTTCATATAGTTGTGTGGTTTTAATTTCAACCTTGATGTTTCGCACTAGTTTGTTGCTTAAACATTTTGTCTCACACACTACTCTTGTATATTGTTTTTAAAATTTATTTACTACTAGATTAATTACTTGGCTAATGTATAGCATTTTAATATGATAAATATCATTATATTTTGTGTCCAGCATGACAGGCAATATAGACTTAAAATACCAAATAAAGACTTTATTCTCAATATTATGAATATTTTATGTAAGACTTGAAGCACGAATAATAATTAAAAAATTAGACATGTCATCAAGGGCATGTTTTGAGCTGAGGTAGTATGCCTTCTTTGATCAAAAATTATGCTTCAAAAAAATTGCTTTCTGTAACTCGCTCGTCTTTTTTATGCAGTGATGGTAAAATGACCTAGTCATTTGCCTATTTTTCAGATGAACTCAAATGACTTCAAAACATGGCACAAATCCTATTGTAAAATTTCGGAAATTTCCGTTTACACGTGACAATTTCCGGCCCGACTTTTCAACAGCCGGAAAATTTCTGAATATGATATCATATATACGTATGCATATAAATATCAATAAATATCACAATATCTTTATTAAAAAACTGCTACATCCGGCTGAGTTTTCTAAGTTCCGGTTAAAATAAACACCGCCGGAGAAAAAGCAGCTTCCGGCATTCGGAAATTTTGTGCCTGCTTCAAAAAATGACCGGTCATTCAATTCTTGGGTCATTTAATGACCAAATAACTGTGATCATTTGGAAATGCACGTCATTGCATATAGAGTTGACATTCTATTGGTCACTAAAAATATGTGTAATGCTTCTTATGATTCGATCATGTAATTTTTAATTCACAGATCAAAAATATTTAACACAAATATCACGTATATTAAATCAAAATATGAAATATGCTGACTTTTATAATAGTAATTTAAAATTTAAAACTCTAAAACGTGAGCAAATTACTTGATTAAACGATTTAAGTCTCTTTGAGTTTAATTGTGAATCATGAGTTGACACGATTCTGACCACTAGTTTATTTAAATATATAGAGAAGTTAGTAATTTAACCTAAACCATGAAAGCTAATTCGTCAAGCCGTGGTTATAAAATCTCTATCTAATTTTAAATATCATGGGTTTAAGTCAATAATGGCCCAGCTGTTATGTTTTTATAATGTTATGATTCTTTTTAATCAAGCATTATCATTATGATAAGAAATGAATAATATGAATAATTAAGTAATTGTTTTGATTTTCATAATTGTACTGTACAAAATATATAAGATGCTTGATTGTAATAATTACATTCTTATAATGAAAATAATTGATTTTTATAATTCAGAATTAAAAGTATTCAAAACAAGATTTAATAATATTTAGACTAAAATAAATAGTATATAAAATCAAAAAGAAAGTTTAATATTAATTTATATTAAGAGAGTATATTGAACAACAAACAGCATATACAACAAAGTGTTTATTAATCAAGCAAGTAAATTATTTACAATACCAGATAGAGAAGATGAAATTTTGTTATGCAAACAGAACAAGATCCAATAAAAGTTGTTTTGTTATACATAATTAGAGAAATAATTAAAAAAGCAGAAGAAAAGCAACCAGTAAAGAAGATCAATATTATTAAACAAAATAAAAATATTATTATAAAAGAACTGATAATAGGACAGTTACAAGACAAAAGAGAAGAGATACAGAAATAGTTAACTGAAATAAACAGAAATCAAGAAGAATTACATAAATTAATATAAAAAAAGAAAATAGAAAATGAAAAAGTAATTAAAAATAAAATATAAGACAATATTAAAAATTTGTAAAAAGAAGTAAATATAGAGATAAGTCTTATAAACAAGAACCAAGAAAGAAGAAATCTATCTATTCAAAAAAGAATTACAGAAGAACAAAAAGAAAAGCAAGAAGAAAAAAACATCAAAATAAAAATTGAAAGAAAAATTGACATAATTAGAAAATTTCTAGAAAAGAGCATATAGGTTCTGAATAAGAAAAACTGTAATTAAAATAACAGTTTATTTACTAATATACTAGTACACAATATGCCTAAAAGAACAAAAGAAGAATATATAAAATTTATTAAATAGTCATTAAGAAATAATATATACATCAAAAACATTAAAAAAATCTTTAAAAGAAAAAATTTATAAATAGTAATAGACTTCAACTATGAATATGACAGAAATGAAGCAATACAAAGAATTAATAAAAAAAAATAATTGGTACAAAATAATACTAGAAAGAAGATAAAAAAAAATATATAAAAAATTCAACAAAAAAGAGCAACAAAAAAGAAGCAATATGCCAAGAATAGAAAAAAAAAATAAAAATAGAAGAAAAACAAACTAATAGAATATAAAACTCAATATGAAACAGATGAAAAATATAAAAACAAAAACTATTCAGCAATATAGAATCTACTAACAAATATAAATAAAAAAAAGATAGAATATATCTGTAGAAGATTTAAAAAAACTCATATAATAGAAATTAAAGGATCTAAATACAAAGTCTTAGCAATAATACAGCAAAACTAATAGAATTATCTGAAAACATTTTAAAAATTTTACGCTTACAAAGTTTATAAAATAAAAAATAAAATCAGTTTATATTTCATCAAACAGAAATGAAAATCAGAAAAGAAAAATAATTGTAATGTTCATGAACAAAGAAGATATAAAAGCAGCTTAGTCAGGCCAATTATATTTAACAATTTTTAACTATATTAGATAAATGAAAAGAAAAGAGAAACAAGAAGAAAAGAAAGACTAAAAGAAGAAAAAAGCAAAAACTATAACAGATTTAGCCAAAGTTCAGATACAAAAATAAACAAAAATAAAGAGCAGAAACATAAAAACAGAATACAAATAAATAAAGGCAGAAAAGAAAAAGAACCCAAGACTACAAATTAGAGAAAAGAAGAAAGAAGCAATACTCAAAAATAGAATTCAAAAGATCAAACAAGATATATATAAAAGAAAAATAAAGTGTAGAAGATATATTGAACCAAATTTAGAAAAAATTAAAAAAATTATAAGAGGCAAAAAAATGACAATAAAGAGCCTAGACAATTGCTCCTGAAGGCATCCTAGTTGAAGCAATGAAAATAGACAAAGAGCTTAAGAATTTTTTATAAAAATAAATAAAAGTATTTAAGAATAGAGCATTAACTCCTTGTCTAAAAAGAAAAAAGAGTAGAAAAAAAAAAGAAAAAGAAGAACCAATAAAAACAAAATGAAATTAACTAAAAGAAAATAAAAAAAAAGAAAAAAGAAAATAAAGATACTATATTACAATATTAATAGATTAAAAACTAAAGATTAAAAGCTTAGAATCCTGGTCAGCTAGATAAAAGAAAAAGAAATTATAATATTAGAAGTCATGAAAACAAATCTGACAGAAAGAGAAAAGAAATTTTTAACATACAAGATAACTAAAAATATATTGCATATTAATGCAATACAACAAAAAACAAGAAAAAAGAATTAGATAAAGAAAATTTGATAGAAAAACATTGAAAAAAACATATAGATACAATTAAGAAAATAAATAAATATTTAATAAAATTATATTATATTTTAAGCAATTGAAGTTAATAGTAATAGGAGTTTATATACTATCAAACAACAAAGAAGTAAAAAAAACTATTCAGCAAAAAATAATAGAGATCATTATAAGAAAAGAAAGACAAATGCAAGTTGTTATTATAGGTGACTTTAACTATACTATAGACAATATATTAGATATGTAAAATTCACAAACTGCAAGTTTCAAAAAACTGTTAATATTTAATTAGATAAGACAACAAAATTTTTATAATATATTTAGAGAAATGTATCCAATAAAACAAAGAAATTTATGGTCAAATACAGAAATAACAACAAGAATTGACTATATATAAATATCAGAAGAATTAGCATCAGGTTTACAAAAAAACAGAAATAGAAGATATATTAGAAATTACTGAAAATGATCATAAGATAATAATAGCAGAAATATGATTAAATATATAATAGCAAAAAATAGCAAGACAAAAGTCAAAAAAAAGAGTTAATTAAGAATAATATATCTTTATAATATTACAAAAAATAAAGAATAGAAAAACTATATACAAAAATTACAAAAATGACTAAAGATCAAAGAAGCATTAAAGTATATTTAAAAGAAAGCACAAGAAACAAAAAAAAGAATACTAAAAATAAATAGCATATAAGATTTAATAAAAAAAAACAATTATAACAGTAGCAAACAAACACATACGTAAAAAAAAAATTACAACATGACAACAAACAAAAGTTACAGCCAAGAAAACTATATTAAGAAAAGATTATTGTAGAACTTCAAAAATTAATCAAATATGCAAAAACAAAAAGAAAACAAAAAGTTATGAAAACAGAAAAAAGTAAAGTAAATAAAAAACTTAAGGTACTAGACAGAAAAGTAAAGACAATGTTACCAAAAATCTGAAGACAATAGTCTGATACATGAATAAAAAACATAAAGAGTTGGCCAAGAATTCTTTAAAAAAAAAAATTAAATGAATAAAAATAAGAACAAAGGAAACAAATAGAAGAAAATATAGACAAAAAATATAAAATGATCAAAACTGACCAAGAAAAAATGATAGCCAGTCTTTTAAACAAATTATACAAGAAAATAATACTAAACAGATTAATCAAACAAGCAGAAGAAGAGACAAAACTAATAACAGAATCAAAGCTAATTAAAAAAGCCATAACAGAACATTATAAGAAACAATTTAGGAAAAGAAATGTCAAGTTAGAAAAGATGTCAGAAAGTTGAAAAAAGATATATAAACTACAAAATTATATTAAAGAAGAATGGTATAGTGGAATAGAAAAAAAAATTGTAGAAGAAAAATAAAACAAAATAATTAAAGAGCTCAAAACAGGAACAATTTCTGAAATATTAAGAATAA